AGCAACTGTATTTCATGGTTTGGTAATTTAAGTAAACAAAACCGTAGTAAAATCCTCATGATCTTGAAATCGGCACGTAAAGTCATTGGATCTGAAATTGAGAGTTTTGACGACATATATAACAAATCTATACTTAAGAAATTTTAAAAAAATTATTAAAGATCTTTCCCACCCCTTGCATCACGAATACACATCTAACAGATCTGGCCGCCTACGCCCTAAAAAGTGCAATACTAAGATTAAGAAATTCATTCACTCACAACTCAGTTTATATCTATAATGCTATCTTTGACCGATGATTTTTCCTTTGCAATACCTTGTGCTATTATGAAAGTATAATACATACTCCAAGTATTGAAATACACACCATCGTGTTGGGATTCAATATTTCGACATTAATTATGTCATCATCAGGAATTCCTGATGATTATGTCATCATTCCTGATGATGACATAATTAATGTCGAAATATTGAATCCCAACACGATGGCGTGTATTTCAATACTTGGAGTATGTATTATACTTTCTTATCTGAGATTAATCAGTGGACCTTTCGGTTTTTGTGCTATTATTTTTTTTGTGTGTGCTGTTCACCCTTTGTGGTCTTTTGTACTAACCTCTGTATTTATTTTTGTATTATATTTATATTCATTATGTGTATAAGCATCAGGAAAAAGAATTTTACTTGTGAATTTTTTCTATAAGTGACAATAAAAGTATCTTGTATCTTGAAAACTAGATTGCTCTGGACCTTACAAAAAGGGCAAAAATATCACTTTCATTTCCTTATAATTTTCCTATCACTGAGCAGACACTAATACCCATTTCACACTAGCAGAAAATATTACAACTTTTAACAATTATTAACAAGTTGTAACAAGTTTGATATTCCGAGATTTTTGGTTCGTTTCACACATGCACTTTCAAACCATGAGAAATCTCGGGAAAACTTGCTCACCATTGTTGTTATAGGCAATCAGTGCGACAAGCATCATAATGATTCGCTGTCGGCGTATTTTACGAAGCCTCGTGATTGTTTCTACATCAGACGTGAAATTTAGCGAGATTTCTTTTGATTTTAGGTCTAGGCCTATTAACAAATGGTAGTAATGTTGATACGTTTTCCATCGCTGCCGCCATTCGTCCGAACTAAACAAAAAAAAAACACAGTCCGCGAAAAGGTCAAAATATGGACATGACGCATGCGCAACAACAACTCGGAAGATTTTGGGGAAAAAACAGGCCTCGCGATGGTCTGTTCTTGTTCCGAGATAACTCAGGGGACCCCTGTGAAATCTAGGAAAGTTTTACAAGGATATGATTTGCTTCCACACTCATCCAAACCTGGTTACAACTTGTTACAAGTTGTTAATATTTGCAAAATAGCATCAGTGTGAAATGGGTATAATTTGACTATAAGTAAGTAGTGATGTCATCATTTTCATTTGAACAAGTCTTGCACTACAGCTCTGGTTAACACGAATAAAGCCTAGAACAACTGGGTCCTAGGTGAGCCCAAGAAAGGCCATTTTTGCCTTCAAACATTGCCTTCAGCCCTGCAGGCTTCAGGCAATTTTTTCAGAAAATAATGGTTTCTTCAGCCTCTTCCTCAGAACTTAACTATAATTGCATTTATGTGAACTTTTGATCATTGAGTTTCTGATACCTTAATATTTTGTGCCATTGTTACTTTTTTTTTTATAATTACATTAAATATCTTATTGTATAATTGTATGTTTAAAATTTTGTTAAAAAGTATTTTAAATGTATGCTTAAATACTTTTTTTTGATATTTGAATTTTGTTATGGCTGAGTGTCTTAAAATCCTTGGCCCTTGGTTGTTAGGCTGAGTCAAATCAACCAAGTTTTTTTCACTTTAAAGCAATCCTCAAGCTTCTTTCTGTTTGCTTTTTTTTAAATACCCCTGGAAATAAAATAGAACAATTATAAATGTAGATAACTTGGTCACCGGTACATAACAATGGCTTGGTGCTGCTACTCAAAACATTTTGTTTAATTACTCACAAAATGTATTGAAGCAGTTTATTGGTGATCCGCTCCGCTAGCGGATCACCTCTTGTTATTGTCAGAGATCTTTTTTTTTTAATTCTAGGTTCTCCCCATTTCTTGTTAGCACGATATCTAAAAATTGGCACGAGATTCATACATGCACGCTTCAACAAACATTTAGCCTGGCTTGGAATAGTCACAATAAAGTTTTAAAAGTGCGCAGTTATGCGTGACGTCATCTACGCGCAATTTTGCGTTTTTACATTATCGATCATATCAGCCTATTACCAATTGCCATTTCGAAATCGTATTAAGTGAGCAATAACTTCAGGTCAATGTTAAATGTAATGTACCCTAATTTTACGCGTGCACGTCATAATGCGCGCGTACGCGTGTTTCAAAATTTTAAAATGCTCGAAATCACATTTAGATTAAATTAGAGCACGTTTCAGGCAATTTTGAGCATTTCAAAATTTTTTTTAATTTACCACTACGCGTGCGCATGTTCACGTATGAAAGCTAGAAATTAATTTTTTTGTCACATTTTGGGTACCAGACATTGTTTTGACAATTTTCCAATCTTTTCAATCACTCCTATGGCCAATAACAATGCCGTACGCACGCATCAAACATAGTGACCTTTGTGCGCATTTGTGCCGATATACAGTGAAATTTTGCTAAAATCAGGCCTAATTTTAAACAGTTACAGCTCTTTAGGATGAAAGGTGACCCCCAATTTTTATTACATATTCTGAAAGCACATGAGTTGTAAATATGAATTTATAGATCATAATGGCTGATCGGACATTATGACGTCATCATATTGCCATCTGAATTCAACGAAACTGATTTTATCGATGACGTCATTTTTGAAAATACGCATTTGTGCGTATCTCGCTTATCCTTGGTCAATTGTCTCCCAACTTTGAGTATGTTTATAGCTGAGACAATTCTCTTTCATATTTGTTATATTTTCCTTACATGTTGATGACGTCATCATGGTCAAAAAAATGTTTTTTTTCTGACCTCCCCCCCCCCCCCCTCATCTTTCTTTCCTGAAAACGTTGATGGGCCCATATCATCTTAACCATTCATCATTTCTAAATCATATTAGGTGAGCATAAACTTCAGGTCAAGGTTGAATGTTATGTACCTTAATTTTTCCGTTCGCACTTTTCAGCGTGTGCATCAACATTTATGTATGCATAAAACCATGAATATTTTTTAATCAGTTATAGCTCCTTAGGATGAAAGGTGACCCCCAATTTTTATTACATATTCTGAAAGCACATAAGTTGTAAATATGATTTTATAGTTCATAATGGCTGATCGGACATTGTGACGTCATCACATTGGCATCTGAATTCAAAGAAAGTGAATTATAGCTACTGTACAGTATGACGTCATTTTTGAAAATACGCATTTGAGCGTATCTCGCTTATCCTTGATCGATCGTCTTTCAACTTTGAGTATGTTATAGCTGAGACAATTTTCTTTCATATATTTGACTTTTTTTTACCTTTTAATGACATCATCATGGTAAAAAAAATTGTTTTTTTCTGACCCCCCCATATCTTTCTTTCCTCAAAACGTTGATGAGCTCATATCATCTTAACCATTCGTCATTTCTGAATCATATTAAGTGTGCATAATCTTCGGGTCAAGGTTGAATGCCAGGTACCTTAATTTTCCGTTCGCGCGAATTAAATGTGCACGTACGCGTGCATCAACAATTATATATACTTAAAATTATGCCTACTTTTAATCAGTTATAGCTCCTTAGGATGAAAGGTAACCCCTAATTTTTATTACATATTCTAAAAGCACATGAATTGTAGATATGATTTTATAGATCATTATGGCTGATTGGACATTGTGATGTCATCATATTGCTATCTAATTTTAAAGAAAACTGAAATTTTATTTATGACGTCATTTTTTTTCAACTTATTTGAACGTATCTTGCTTCCATCGATTGTCTTCCACCTGTGAGTATGTTATAGCTGAGACAATTCTCTATCAGAAGTGTCCCTTTTTTTTTCTTTTTGATGACATCATCATGGTAAAAAGGAATGCTTTTTTGGAGCCTTCTCATCTTTATTTCTTAAAAGATGTAAACAATTTTAAAATAGAGGGCGGCAGACTGTATTTTGACGCTATCAGACCGATAGTTCGTATACTGTAAAGGGAAAATTCGTGTGGCATTTAATACCAACCAACAGGTGGTTTTAAATTAAACTTGACAAGGTTTAAATTCATGTGCCCTTACCGTCCTCTGGCACGTCGTATAAGGTCATTTTCAGTTTTCCAAAACTTTCTATAATTCCATACGCTCATTTCCTCCACGTACACAGTACGTACTGAAGCTGGAAATTACGTTTCGGTTACATGTTTTGGGTTTGTGACACTGTATTAATATCATTAGCGTGGTAATAAATTTAACTTGACAAGGTTTAAATTCATGTGCCCTTACCGTCCTCGGGCACGTCGTATAAGGTCATTTTCAGTTTTCCAAAACTTTCCATAATTCCATACGCTCATTTCCACATGCACAGTACGTACTGAAGCTTGAAATTACGTTTCGGTTATATGTTTTGGGTTTGTGACACTGTATTAATATCATTAGCGTGCGCACGGATGTTCAGACGTATGTGTACACATTCGTAAGTCATTAAAATGCTCAAAATTACTCTTTTTAAAAACTAAATAGAGCATGTTTTAGTATATAATAATTTTCAATAAGCACCGCTCGTGCTTCGTGATGGTCAAAGTACGGCGGATCACCAAACTCGTCCTCAGTGATGAGTTCAAATTTAGTATTAATTTTTTGTTATTACATTAATATGAGGCTAATGGCAGGAATAAGAGAAAGGTAATATATTTCTAACACTAAGAAAAAATTACTTAACAATAAAAAAAAATCATGCTTGAAATGCTTAGTGTTCCTCAATGATGAAAATATATTTATTAATCTGTGTTATTTATTTTCAGTTAGGTTGGAATGAATCAAGTAAATGTCTCAAAAACATCTGTGTTGATCTTGGGTTGTCCAAGCCGCCCTTGAACGTTTCTGACATTCAGCTATTTTCCAAGTTGGAATCTCAACTACGAACAGTGATTGCACAGGCCCCTGAATGCCAACTTGGAAAACCACTCATGAAATTTTCACTTAATATGAAACAATGGGTAAATAACAATGCATTTATTGTTTTAAAATCCACTGTCTTGAAGGTGTCTCATCAATTATAATTTTTGTGTTAGTTTCAGTAAAGGATTCATTTTCTTGGCTGTTTAATACGATTATTCATCAGGCAGTATGTCTTAATTTTGATGTGTGTATTTGGGAAAAGCGTATAACATGTGGATCATCATTATTTGTACATCCCCATAGGGAGTTTGACAAATTCTCATCTTTACAAACATCTTAATGTGTAAACATGCCAATAATTGACATCAGGCTTTACTCCAGCTTATCTGATTCTGGTCTATTTACCGTTCACCTCCAAAGTAAGACTGGTAATTTAAGTATTCTTTATCAGAGTTATCAGACCTGATTCACACGTACAAAAATCTACCAAAATGTAACAAACTCTTACATTTGCCCAAGCGTGTGAATGCACATCCTTGTAAAACAAATGTAACATCTGTGTAATAGCTCGGTAATCTTTACCGACATCAGCGAGGTCTGTAAAGATTACCGAGATGTAACATGACGATGACTGCGCATGCCCAGGAATTTTAATCGAATCGACCTGGCCTAGCCAGCTGTGTGGCGCGAATTATTTCAAAACACACCAAGCCTAATTTCTAGCCGGCCTAGGATAATTGCTTATTATATGTACTGCAACATTCAGAATGGAGGAATTCTTATTATCCGTGGTTATTGATGAAAAGAGAAGAAAATCAAAGAACAAACATCGTGATTCTAGTGTCGTTAGGATAATCAAACAAAGTCAGAAATTTCGTCGACAGCTTTTTACTATGCAGATGAATTTGATTTCTTTGAACATTTGCTGCAACGGTAAGTAAAGTAGCCTAGCCTAGGCCTACCTTGTTCGATTCTCAGCCGATCATATAATAAATATACTACCTAAAACCCTCCTTTTTTGGACTCCCGTAAACTTAGGATATATATAATGCCTATTTGAATGTGTCTCTCCTGACCTAGGCTAGGCTAGACTGCGTGTGTGTTGCTCACGGACTCGTTGCTCACAACAGGAGTCAACCAAGCATTTCTAATGACTTCTTTACAAGGATTTTACATGGATGGAAATTGTACGTGTGAATACGATCTCAGTAGGAATATCTCGGGAGATATCCCGGTAACAATTTGGTACATTTTGTTACATTTCATTGTACGTGTGAATCGGGTATAACTTGACTTCCAGGGAATTGAGGTTAAGCAAAATACTTCATGTCATATTGTTCAAAAGGCAAAACTTCAGTGGGTGGTCAGTCCATGGTTCCCAAGCCATAAATTCATTCACATTAGTAGCAGATACTACATGAAGACCATCCCATAGTATCACTCGAAATAAGAAGGAATTTGCTCTCAAATTTATCTGGGATGCTAAAATTTAAGTTTAAGCCTATGTCCACGAGTACGCGAGTCAGAATTTAATTTTAAAAGTACTTGCTTGAAATCGGTTTTTTTAAAATACCTGACTCATATTTGGCCTTTATCTTGTTTAATGCTATTAAGCGCTCAACATCTGTCAAAGTATGCATACCCGGAATCATCTTGGTAGCCCTCTGTTGAACTTTCTAAAGGAGATCTTGATTTATGACTGTACTAAAATATTTCAACATAGGGCGAATCGTAGCTTTATGCATTTAAAGAAATCCCACTTTTCCAAGATATTTAAAGACCAGTAAATCATTCCTAATATTCTGTTTGCTCTCCTGCAAACATCAGCTACGTGTAAACTAATATTCAGGCTAGAATCAAAATAGACACCCTAGTCTTTCATATTCAACTTCCAATAGTAAATAGCCTTGACATCTCGTATAGACACCCAATATTTCTTCTTCAGTAGTGAATGATCGTACATTTTTGTTCATTAAAGGGGAGCAGCCATCGTTTAGACCAAACTTAGGCCTGTCAAAGTCCCTATTTCCCCAGTATTAAACCTCCCACTATTAAACCTCCTGCCTGAGAACCAATACTGGCCCTTCAAAAGATTTTGGTCCTGCCGGCGCAAGATACTTAATCTAGTCCTAAGGAAATTTTTGTTGCGTAACAAAGAGCAGACAGCTTTGATTATAAAGATCGCTTATATATTAACCAATTGTTTCTTTATTTCACTTGGGTGTAAATTTTCAACCTTGCTAATTAATTGGAATCTACACATAATGTGCAATAGTTATACAAATATTATCTTGTGATCATATAAATATTCTGTGTTAACAAAATGTAACAATTTTGTAGGAAGAACTGCAGGGAATAAACAATTCACTGATGTTAGAATATCAACTCAGGAGACAAATGTTGCTGAAGCGTTTGGACGTAACTGTACAGTCTTTTTGCTGGTCTGACAAAATTTCAGTAAGTATATCAATGCTCATCTTGATATTAATATAACTAGCAGTTTCTGATAGAAAGTAAAATGCTGCGAGTATGCAATTCATGTAAATACTAATAGATACTTCAGTACATATAAGGGTGTACTGATTTTTAGTTTTAGTATTAAAAGTTGGTAGAAATGTATGATTTGGTGGCTTATAAGAATGGATTTCAAAAATTTTGTTTACAATGCTACAATACAACATAATAATATACTAATAGACATGTTAGTAGTCGATCTTGTTTTATTGTTAACCACAATATGCTTCACCTTATTTAAATATGTAAAAAATTGTTATTCACAATAGCCTTCACAGTATTTAAATCTGTTTTAACAGAAAAATATTTAAAACTTTTAAATATTTTCTCAATATTTAAAACTTGTTTTAAAAAAGTGGCTAAATGAAGAACATGCCTCACTGAACTTAAATATTTTTTTTTTAAATGGTTTATACATATCGTGCTCCTTAGTATTAAACTCTTTAAATAAAATAATGCTTTATCTACAAAATGCTTTTCAATTTTTTATGTAAATGTTTTATCCACAATATACTTTTCAGTATTAAATTTAAATAAATGCTTTTTAATATTTAAACTTGTTTAAACACTACAGTATTTAAACCGGTTTCGAAATAGTATCTTCATCTGGTAAATGACCTAATATCAGATCATTTCATCATCGGCCGATGACGTGCACCCTCTGTTGGTATTTGAGGTATTTTCCGTGGGGTCCTCTGTTCCGTGGGTTGGTGTAGAAGGTCATCGTAATTATGTGATAGCTTGTAGGCTTCTTATCTCCATTTATGTAAACGAAAACATGCAACACCATTAAGCTGTAAACTGACAATGACCTGGATTGTATGCAACCACCAAAAACCTACAAACAAAAGTATATGTGTAAATTAACATAAGATTGAAGCACAACATTTGTTACCAAATTAACACATAAAAGCTGTTTTACTAACATATATATTCAATATAATTATCGATTACTATTATTTTATGAGATATTTTATTAGATGTTGATTTATTAGTAAGATATTTGGATATCAATATACACCTACCTCCAAATATTACGTTAGGCCTAGCCTCAGATAGAAGAGACTATCAAGGCCTTCAGCCTAATTAATTATAAGCCCAACCATAACTAGCCTCAAATACTCATAAACAGGACACAATCACACTCTTCTAGAAACATCACTAATATGATGACCATAATCAACAGCATTAATTAGGCAATACGGACACGTAAGTATTTGAAAATACAGTACTTACCAAATCAATTTCACAGGACACATGTGAAACTGACAAACTAACTATATACATGTGCAACCAACAATCTGCAAACAAAAGTACATGATTGTGTAAATTAATGTAAGATTGAAGCGCAATATTTGTTACCAAATTCACACATAAAATCTGTTTTACTAACATATATATTCAATATAATTACAGATTACTATTATTTTATTCGATATTTTATTAGATGTTGATTTATTAATAAGATATTTGGAGATAAAAATCTACACCTACCTCCTAAGTATAATCATAGAAAAAACTATTTATCGCCACAAAATTACAATATGGCATCTATGATGAGCCTGTGGCCACGTACTGTACACACATCAAAATAATCTGGCAATTTCTAATTAATATCAAGTATAAAAATAACACTGTTCGTTTAGACACCTAAGCCTAGATCTACCCTAGGTAGAGAAGCTAATGGAGTACTTAATATTAGGTTAGACCTAGGCCTAGTCTCAAATTTGAAAGACTAGCCTAGCCTGCGAAGTTCCGCCTAGGCCCCTAGGCCTAATTAAATTATAAAAAAGGACAACCATAGCTGCACTAAAAATCTCCTGAAATAAATTCTTTTTTTGGATAGATAGATATGGATGAGGGTGTAAGGGTCATTCCGTGCCAACTCAACAAATTTTCAGAAAGTAGTGCTGGGTAAAGTCTCAGATTTTCTTGAAACTCGGATATAATGTGCACCAACATGTCTAATGAACAAACCCAAAATTTGACTTGCCAATTCCAAGTCGTTTAAAAGTTACAGCCATTTGAAATGTTTGTGTCATACTCCTTTCTAGCTCTCAATTATGACATATTTGTAAAGTTGCATTTTCAAAACAAAAAAATTCAAGAATTTTCACTTATCATTTTAGGGGGTATTCATAGGTCAAAAGGTCATTTGGAACAAAATATACACAAAAATGCCTCATTTCATGGTGACCCTTCACCTTGTGGGAAGGTACCCTTGTCGTTAAAACTCGCACCATGAATTAATTTATATATGATGATCATATGCTCCAAATATCAGTTTGGTGTCTTGATACCTTCATGTTTAAAAAACAATTTGTAAAATGGTATATTTTTCAATTTGTCGCAATATCAGTGCCTAGAAAACTTATAATTCTAAAACAACTTTTTGTTAAAGTAAAAATTACACTAATTGAATACACCTGGAATAATATGCAAGGTAAAAGAACTTTTGTATACTGATCTAAATTATGGAATAAACTCCCGGATCATACTAAAACAAACTTTAAATCTATAACACTAATTAATTAATTTAAGCATTCTATTTCAAATCCTCAATAATACCATCTTAATTTAACCTGATTTTCTCTTACCTTGCATATCCATATTTATTACTTAAATTTTTTATTTTTGTAAGTTTGTTTCAATTTTTCTTTTTTAAAATCTATTTTAATTTGTAGTTATCTATCTTTTTTGGTTAACATGTGTATATCTGCTTTTAAAATGTTGTAGTTAAGAACTGAACCACTTTTGAAACCAGTACTATGTATTGAAAGTGTATATTCAGTATAAAGAAAGAATAAATAAAATAAAATAAATATGTGCTTATTTCAGGCATGCAGGTCATTAAGGGATACAGTGTTTGATTAGTAAGATATTGTCCCCCTACTAATGGCCCAAGGGCAAGAATTGCGCAATAAAATTGTGTTAGTATTGGTTTTAAATGAGGATAATATTATCCGTGTACTGTCTAGAGCCATGAAACTTTTCATTCTAGGACAACTTTTTGTGTTGATTTTTTTAGATTATGCAGTCTGTTAAAGGGATAAATTGTTTAATTAGTAAGATATTTTGCCCCAAGTGCAAGAATGGCGCAATAAAATTGTGTTACCATTGATTTCAAATGAGCATGATATTATCCATGTACTGTCTAGACAGCCATGAAACCCTTCCCTTCTAGGAAAACTTTTTGTGCTGATTTTAGTTATGCAGTCTGTGAAAGGAATGCATTGTTTAATTAGTAAGATATTTTCCATAAAATGGCCCAAGTGCAAGAATTGCGCAATAACATTGTGCGACTATACAGTATATTGATATATTTCAAATGAGCATAACAAACAGTGTACTGTTTAGAACCATGAAACCTCACATTCTAGTACTCATTTGATGCTTATTTAATTCATGCAGTCTGTTGTTGGAAATCAATAGTAACACAATTGCTCAATTCTTGCACTTGGGCCATTTTTGGATTGGAAAAGATCCCCCCTCCCCATTACCAAAGCTTGTTACGGGCCTGACCTAGTAGAATGGTAATTTTTGGCCGTTTGGGCAATTCAATGCCAGAGAAAAAAAAATTCTAAGATATAAAACTTTGTGTTTTATATCTAATTTTGTATTAAATTTAAGCTTAATAGAGCCCAGTATTGAATCCCCAGCATGCAGGCCAATTCCAACCCACCAAAAATTTCCATCCAGCCTGTGTGACACTGCTAACAGTAAACCATTTTCCAGCAGATTTCAGTACTTAGGTCCTATAGCTCCGGTATTCAACCCCCGGCCTGTAGGCCAATACTGGCCTGCCAAAGAATTTTATCCAGCCCGCAAAACAATAAATTATCTTCCGGCCCATTTTCAGTACTTCCCAAAAAAGTTTTTCTGTTAATATAAACACGACCACCTACTCTGGCATTGTTAATGAGAGTCGGCTCTTTCTGAGTGATATAGCTCACTGTATCTAGTGGCGTAGAGTAGTCCTAGTGCTATGAGAAGTGGAGACTGGTAGTAAGGATAAGGATTAAGTGGGGCGCTGATATGATGTCTAACCATTGGCGGATCCAGGGAGCAGGCTCCGGGCATGTCATTCTGTTGAAAACACTGCTTTGAAAACATTTTTTTATTCTAAAAGTGCCATTTCTGGGAATCTAGGTCTTGGAAACACAATACCAAACACCAAAATTTTAGAAGTAACCGGGATTGTTGATATGTATTCAATGTTAAGGGCTCATTGGACTGGTCACGTGTGTAGGCAGGACGCAACAAGGATCCCCAAAAACATTCTGTATGGGCAAATTGCAGAATCACCTCGTCCCTGTGGTAGACCAAAGCTCCGTTTTAAGGATATGCTGAAACATGATCTTGCTGCTTTTGACATACCTATATCAACATGGGAGGACATCGCACAAGACAGAGCAGAATGGCACAATGAAATTTCAAACGGAAAACACATATCCGCACAAAATTATTTACATTTCCGTAATAAAAGAAGGGAACGTCAGCATCAAACTACAAGTACTGGTACCGGTAATTGTTAAGGGCATGCTATTTCTGCCTTGGGAACAGAACAAAGCCACCCTGCAGAGTTCACCAATTCAATTCACTCATAATCACTAGAAGAAATGATGTTTCTAACATTAAATCATCGAAATCGACGTTTACAGCCAAGGAGGAGAGGTGTATTTCTTTAATTTGCTTACCTCAGCCCCAACATTGGGTAATTTCTGACACTGGCATTTGTTTGTTTTTACTATAAATAGTATATTTTCAGTGGATTTTTTTGTAGTGGTAAGGTAGGACAACCTGATGTGCTCTTTTTTATCCCCACCCTTACCCAACTACTGCATTTTCTCATTTTTATAAAACAATTAGGCCTACCATAGTTCATGTTTGAAACCAAGGCTAATAGGATCCAGCAGGAGCATGTTATGTGTGTAAGCCCTATACTGCCTTACTGTATTATGTTTACTAATGAAGTATCCACATGGGATTTGTCTATCAGGAAATGTGTGGTGTAATTTTTTTAATGATTTTTTGTACAGTAATAAGGTACTTGAGATGACACATGACCCATCGTGCACCTCAACTGGATTTACCCTTTCTGCCATCTTCAACTGCAAAAAATATGAACACTGAGCCTGGCAAAATTTTACTAGTTCTTATAAAAAAAAGTCCAAATATATTAAAACTAAAGCGTTTGCTAAGAGTTTAAGGGGAAGATTTCGAATAAAACTTCTTAATCTACGGATAACACCAATACGTTGGCAATTTTGGAACAAAAATTCTAAACATGTTTATCCCACGTAAAAGAAAAGTATCAAAAGTTAAAAAATATCTATATCTACAATGTTACCGTTAATTTACAGTGAAATATTGCAAAAATTTGAAAGGTTAAGTTTGGAACTAAATAACATGAATTTGGTTTTCTTAACATTAAATGTTTACTTGTTATTTTAAACCATTTTGATATGTTGGTAACATTCTTATCAATGATAGATTGTAATATTATTAGGATCAGAGGCAGAACAAAAAACATTTTTGTCATCAGCAAAAATTTGAATTCGCTGGTATTGTATATATGCTGTATAATATATGTATGTGTAAACTACCGAAAAGGCTCGAATAAGCACCGAAAAAAATCATGTTTGGTGCCGCGCTTATTCAAGAGCTGCATTTATTCGAGAGCGGCACTTATTCAAGCATTTATGGTAGATGTTTTCGGTCCTTGTTTTTCACTCTTCTGGAGTAGGCTCCTAATCGCAATAGCGTGATGTTTGCCTCAATATTGACAATGGGCCTATACATTTTGTTGCTTCAAAAATCAAAAATATATAATATGTATGTGTAATCAAAAATACATTGTCACATCTACGAGTCTTGAAATGGGTGGGGGGGTTGCTGTTGGGAGGTGCAAAGGTGCAGTGGAAATGGGTCTGATTAAGTGAGGAGGTTCTAGCTCACAAATTAAGGTGATTTTTTTTACTAATGAGCACGATTTTTTTGCTTCGAACATTTTCAATGAGGGAGGGAAGGGGTAGCGAGCATTTTTGTTGCCAGCCTCCCTCCAGGTACGCCATCACACATACGTTCTAGAGACCGAGAACTAGCCGGAATTTTTTTCGTTTCGTAAAGTAAAGTAAATCCTTGCCTTGCCAATCCACTAGGCCCATAAAGGCTGGAGCTTATCCCAAGATTCTGTAGCATGAAGTGGATGAGAGGGTGGGACTCTGTGCATCACAGGTTACGCCCAGCAGTTTGCTGGTACCATTGATTGCTGATTAGACTGAAGGACACAAGCGAAATGCACATAGGTGTAGTGAAGATTAAAACCCTGACCTCAAGGTTCAGAAACCAAACTATTTCCAGTGCACGAAACCACTTCCACATACTCTAATTGTAACTCACCCTAAAAATAAAACAAATGATCAATAGGCAAGAGTTTTAATTAGAAATTTTAAAATAATCAAGTCCCCACATTGAAAGTAGTCCCTACCCCACTCTAAAAAACACTATATCAAGCAGTAAACTAACACTCTGTTGGAGCCTATTTTTTGCATTTTACAACAGACTATCACATAACTTTTTGTCTAGCTGTTTACATAAAATTTAAGTTGAGTTGCTTCCTAAGGCTTGAAGCCATGTTGAAGCAACTCGAATGGAGTGTGCTAGAAATATAAGTGATGTTTTTTTTTTTTATTGATTTGACAGGGTAAGGAGGATAAATTTGCCAAAGCTTATCAACCTAAAAGGGCCCTTTTGAAAGCACAGAGTGAAACATCTTTAAGCAACCTGTTGGCAGCACGAGAAGGTAAGGTGTGAAATAAGAATTTGTCATAATCGCATCTTGCTAGTGCCGCTATAGCATTACCCTCGCATGTCAGTATTGTTATTATTTGTTGTTTTGTTATAACGGCATTTTCCTGTTTTAGGAGATCAATATTTTTATGTCGAGTGTGTTTTTTTTTGTTTTTTTTTTGTTTTCTTCAAAACTTAACAGTGAATGGATTCGTGAGATCATTAATGATGTTTTTCTTATCTTTATGGTATTTGTGTAATATTTTAGTATTATAAATTTATTATATAAAGACGAGTTTCCATAGAGGCCTGTATATACTGTAATTCAATAGTAAAACCAGTTTATTTCCTTAATAGAATAGTAAATACAGTCTAATTATTGCACTGAAAATGGTTTTATTCTTCGTCTTGCCCACTTTTTTAATAACCTTTCTCATAATTTTACGTTAATCGATAGTTTTCACCAGAGCCTTAGTTCATTCAAAACCAGCTTATCGCAATTTTTACTTCATAATGCCAAGTGATTTTTATTTTCTGGGTGGGTTAATTCCTTAATCCTTTGTTCCTTGGTCTTTTTCTTTGTTTTTGATTGTTTTAGTGGGGCGGATATGTGACATTTTTTGGTCAAGACATGAACTTCTGGAAAGGCCTTCCAGGCCTCATCAGTGCAGCTAGGGTATAGACCCAAACGAAACGTTCGACCAGCTTGGGTAGGGCCCAAACTAGTCCCACGACCACTAATGATTACAGAGCCAAACCAAGGCAATATATATACACAGCCCAGGTGTGAATGCAAATAGTGGAATACAAGCTATGTGGCTCAGTTCTAGTAGATACAGAGAATATTTTGTTATTCTTAACGCGTCCTACAAAATTCTTACGAGACAGCACTAGTCCGTGAATTTGTGAACAAGATCGGAGATCTAAAGATGCAATCTCTACCGTGCATCAGTGGCGGCCCGCTGGATCACAATGGAGATTCTTTAATAATATATAAATTTTAAAAGGCAAATGGGAAAAACCCATAAAACAGCAAGCGGCCACATAATGCAAAACTATTAAAAATTAAAACGGAACAGTAGAGAAAATCCGATCAGAATGACAAAATAAACTAAGCATCCACTGGAAGGAATCCCAATATCTGCAATA